TCTCTTTTTGTCGTAATCTTTTCAATTATATATCATTGCATTGTGAGTCTAAATCAAATAATATGATAATATTTTTCTGAATTTTTGATTTCTTTTATATTATTACAGATGCATTTTGCTCCTAAAATGTGGGAACAGAGAATGGATAATAAAAAGAAATTAAAACCAAATGTAGTGCCAACAATTTTCAAATACTTTGTAAAGAAGAAAGTACCTTTTAATAATCAAAATTTTGATGTAGTTGAGGATATACATAGGTTTATTTTTGACGATTGCAAAGAAGATCAAATTGTAAATGATGAACAGGTAAAATCAATGATAAAAGTGATAAAAATCAATGAAAGAAGTATATATATTTATAAATATTTATAATATGTTATGAAAATAATTCCGAAAGACACAAAACACCGAATGAATTGGTTAAAAAGTATAAATGGCAAATATAAAAATTGAACACCGTCAAAAAATTCATCAGTATGTGAGGTAAAGTAATTTATTCTTTATAAATAATGTGTTTAAAATATTAAAATAAAAATGTAACAAAATATACACAGATTAATTATAATAATCATATCTGAAGATACGATGTCTTGGCACTAAGTATATGTATAATCATCACATTGGTTACGAATTTAATTCTTTCTTTTTTTGTCATAATCTTTTCAATTATATATCATTGCATTGTGAGTCTAAATCAAATAATATGATAATTACGATATTTAATATATAATATTTTATGAAATGGTATATACATATATAATATTTGTCTGAATTTTTTTCTGAATTTTTGATTTCTTTTATATTATTACAGATGCATTTTGTTCCTAAAATATGAACAAAGAAAGGATAATAAAAAGAAATTAAAACCAAATGCAGTGCCAACAATTTTCAAATACTTTGTAAAGAAGAAAGTACCTTTTAATAATCAAAATTTTGATGTAGTTGAGGATAAATGTAGGTTTATTTCTGACGATTGCAAAGAAGATCAAATTATAGTAAATGATGAAAGGTAAAATCAATGATAAAAGTGATAAAAATCAATGAAAGAAGTATATATATTTATAAACATTTATAATAAATATATCTTTTAGATAGCTATAAATGAAACTGTTGAAGTTAATGCATCAATAATCAATCCTAATATATCATCAACAAAATGTACTTCAAGTATAACAGAAATCGATGGAAAAAAAGAAAAAGATAAAAACAAAAAATTAGAAGAAATAAATCGAAAAATGCAAATCCATTTAATTCTTATGCGCAAAAAAATAAGTGCTTTAAGAGCTAGAATATTAAGACTTGAAAATAAAAATAATAATGATCAATATAAAAAAAGCTTTAAAGGAAGTATTCAATGAAGAACAAATTAAAGCTATTAACAAAAAAACGAAAAACAAATTGGCTTAATGAAACTGTTCAATGTTCACTTAGATTGAGGTTTACTTGTGATACTAATGGTTATGAAGAGTTTTTACAACAAAAAATACCACTTCCAAATTTGCGCACTTTACAACGAAGATTGGAAAATTTAAAATTTGAGAGTGATATTTCAAATGAAATGTTCGATTTTTTACAATTTAAACTATCTTCTTTTCAAAATGATAAAGAATGTGGGCTTGTTATTGATGAAATAAGTAACACTAAAACATGTTTATGATTCTTCAACGAAAATATTACTAGGAAATATAACATTTCCAAATAAAGAAGGTAATGCAACGCATGCTTTAACATTAATGTTAACAGGTACAGCTAATCAATGGAAGCATATTGTGGATTATTTTTACAGGTGGATTATTTTTAGGCGACTCATTTGATGGAGCAGTTTTAAAAGATATCATTTTACAGATAATTTATAAAGCTGAAATAATTGGTCTTCATGTTAATTATATAACTTCTGATATGGATCCTGGAAATGACAAACTATGGAAATGTTGTGGGATAAATATGGGACGATATTCAGACGTTAGAAATTGTATTTCCCATCCTTCTGATCCTAATAGATTCCTATATTTTATTGCAGATGTACCACGTCTTTTGAAAAATGTAAAAGAATCATTACTTAACAACAAATTTTTTATCTTGCGAGAAGAATTTGTTAATAAGTATAAATTACCATGTAACAAAGTTGAAATTAAATATTTTAATGAATTAATAGAATCTCAGAAAGATCTCGAATTTTTTCTAACGCCTAGATTAAATATGATATCAAAACTATTAATATTACAATAAAATGCATGTAAACAAAGCAAAAAATGTTTTTTCAACTCATGTCAGTAGTACATTAGAATTGTTAGCTAATGAAAATCATAAGCCAGAATATATTACAACCTCATGGTTTGTTAAACAACTATTGGGTACAAGAAATAAAGAAATATACAATGCTAACATTTCTTTTCTTCGTGAAATAATAGATCTTTTTACGAAAATAAAAATAAGTAGTGAAGATAAATAAACCTATACAAAGAGGCATCATACTCAACATCAATTATTAATTTAGTAGAGTATCTTTTAGAACATCGCAATTCATTTTTCAATTTATTTTAACTGGTCGTCTTACACAAGACTGTATAGAAAATCTATTTTCGCTTTTGCGACACAAAAATCCAGTTTTAGATCCTTTATAATTTAAAAATAATTTGAAACTTATAGCTGTATCGATGTATATGAAACCAATATTGACAGGAAATTATGAGACTGATAATACTGAATACCTTTCTGGTTTTATAGATTATTTAAAGTGTAAAAAAAATGACGTATCTAATTCTGTATCTCATTCTACTGCAATCATAGATCACATTCCTCCTTTTGATAATAATTTAACAATAGCGTATAATAACAAAGAGATGAATTGTTTATATAATGTTGCAGGATTATATATTGTTTGGCATCTGTTAAAAAAACATGTACCATGTCATGTAGTAATTGTATAGAATCTGTTGACTCAAAAAAACTATTAAATTTTAAATTTTCTGAACTGGTGAGAATTAAATGTTACAACGCAAATACGTTATACTTTGTTAATAAGGCGACATTTTAAGTTTTCTTACAATTGGAAAATATTTATAGACATTATAGTCTTTACTTTGAAAAAATACAATATAATGTAAATTTACATAGCTTTTTAGTTAATAAATTTGATTCTGTTCCCACAGATCATAATTAATTGTCAGATCATTCTTAATTGTCATAATTTGCATTTAAAGCTATTTAAAAAATTTGCTACAGTGCGTTTAAAATTTAAAAATAAGCGTAGAATTATATTACCGAATCGCAAATATTGACAGGAAATCTATGGCGATGTATCATTCTTTTAAGTAAAATATGTTTCATTTTGCGGTTTATTTCCTCTTATATTATTTAAAATAAATTTTGTTTTCGACATAGCGCAAATGATATGCAATAAATAACGTTTTGTATAAAGTAATGTGCAATATTACAAAATATACAATATTGCAATAGTACAAAATAAATGAAATTTTATAATAAATAATATATGTAAAAGTTTTATTATTTTATATACAATATTATATATATTATTATTTTATATACGTATATTTATTTATTATCGTTTTTTAATTTGTCACAATTTTTGAGTATTTTTTAGCATGAATTCAAAATTTAGAAAATAATGCGTTTAAAAAACTGGAGGGAATGGCTAAAACATGGCCAATCACAAGTGATACTCGTATGGCGCCACTCTGATTATAGGCTGTCTATTACGGCCAATATAAACGCTCCCTCACCATAGAGTGAATATAAAGAGAATTACACCAATGTATGTGCCTAATACTGATTGGCTCCACCATTAAGTGTCCTTACCATTAATTGAAAGAAGACATTAAGATACGTTCGTTTATGCAGTTACTGCTGCAGATATCATTTGTCTATTCTATCTGCGAAGGCGACTGCAGCGCAATTTCTCGTTTGTTTACGCAGAAATGTACCATCTACGTAGTTATCTCGGAGGTTCTGCTTAGGATACGCTCTGCTCGCAGTACTGCCGCTACTGCATAAAGCTGACTTTTCATACGCAGCACGCTGCGGCAGCAACTCATTGCTATTGATTAAAAATTTTACATAAGACGCATTCCGACGCAAAATACATTTTGCCGCATCTCATTAAAGTTCAACCGAATGAACAACGAGCAGTAAAGAATTCGAAGCTGAGAAAATCTGCAATATTTGCAAAAAATGTGAAAATTGAATACACATACAATGTACATACATTTTTATTAAGATTTGTAGTAATGAGAATATTCTAAATTCTAACGTTGTCCCTTGAGATACACTGGATGCAGCCTCGCACCACACCAGTTGCGTGTAAACGCTACACTCAGCACAAATTTGTGTTTGTAAAGCAGAGAATTTATTTTTAAAACAGACAATTTGTGTTTGTAGAGAATAGGTATGTTCGGCATTGCAAATCGGAGGCGTCCGTTTGCTCTTTTATCTCGAAAATCATTCTTCTCGCATCTTTCTGCTACATGTCATCTCATCTGCGTTCGGTATTAACATTTCTAAAACCAATCGAGCTGCTCGATCCATTCCGGATTCAAAGACCGATCTCGCAGAGCTAATGCAGATTTTCGCGCCTAAATTAAATTTATAATCTGTATATTTATGATAATGTAACCAATTGATTCGTTAACACATACATTCAGCTCTTTTAATACTTCGATCTATTTTACAAATAGTATGTTTGAACGGTTATTATGTCTGAGTCTACAAACAAATGCTATCAAGTAAAAATTGATTGGAGTATATTATGTACAATATTTACAAGGAAAATAAGTTTCTAATTCTTTTCTTCTTTAGGAATTTGAGGTTACGTATTTGAAAACAAAGAATTTACTAGTTAATTTTTAGATCGAAGCTCATGCTGCACATATACAGGGTGCGGCAGCATAACTTCCTTTTTTCAAAACTTAATAAAACCCATTGTATGAATCAGAACATTTTAATTTTTTTTTATAATGTAGGCGCATACCTAAAGTTTTGTTTTACATAGTTTTGAAGATCAAATCAGATAGGTGACGTCCCCCATTCTCCATACATTGAGTAAACCGATTTCTGGCGTTTGTCATGACTCTTGCCAGCATAGCAGGCGTTATGTTGGCAATTTCTTCCTGGATGTTGGTCTTCAAATCTTGTAGGGTACTTGGACGGTTCACATAAACACAGGATTTCAAAAAACCCCATAGAAAAAAATCACAAGGGGTCAAATCGGGAGAGTGGGCCGGCCACTCCAAATCGCCCCTAATTGAGATGAGGCGCTCTGGGAAGTGTTCCCTCAATACAGCCATCGATGCTCTTGAAGTGTGTGCCGTTGCACCGTCTTGTTGGAACCAAATGTCCCCTAAGTCCAACTCATCTAGCCGTGGAAAAAAAAATTCCTGTAACATGTTTAAATACCGGTCCGAATTCACTGTCACTGCGACTTCATTCTCCTCAAAGAACCAGGGACCAATAATTCCAGCTGAGGAAATTGCACACCACACTGTAACTTTAGGTGAATGCAAAGGCCTTTGATGCAATTCTCGAGGATTGGTGTCAGCCCAATAGCGCATGTTTGTTAACGGATTCACACAAATGAAAATGGACTTCATCACTAAAAAAAACAATAGCGTCTTCAGAAACGACTTCAAGAAGAACCTCACACGCGTTCCTCCGAGAATTGAAGTCACGCTCAGAAAGTTCATGCGCAATCGCCATCTTGTAAGGATGGAAATGAAGATCATCATGAAGAATTCTCCTCACAGAACAATCGGAAAGTCCAAGGGCAGACGCATGTTTGCGCGCAGAACCCTGTGGTGATCGCAAAATTGAAGCTCTCACTGCCTCAATGTTTTCAGGTGATCTAATGGGCCGAGGGACTCCAGTTCTTCATCTTGTCGCATTTGCAGTTTGTCTGAACGTAGTAACCCACATAACAATTGATTTCCGATCCGAGACAGGGGCTAAATTAAAGCGATTCCGAAAGGCGCGCTGGGTTGCGATCACAGAACATCCGCTCGAAAAGTAGGCCTCGACGGCAAAAGCACGCTCCTCACTGTTCCAACGCATGATGGCGACTGAACTGTGTCGGGACAAAACTTTATACTCCCGCCTCTCGAACGAGACCACTAGCGCTCCGCTACAACATCAACCCACTGAATGGTGCGCATTTCAAAAAAGGAAGTTATGCTGCCGCACCCTGTAGAATGAAATAAAATCAAACTGTATTAATAATTTTAACGAATATAAATCAAGTGATATAACTTATAAATTTCAAATTGCTGAAATTTATTTTGCAATGTATTGGGAGTACAAATTAGTTCGGTCCGTTTTTTTGTGTTCAAAAATGCATTTATTTCAAAACAAAATGAATGAACAGATTAATTAGTATTGTCCGTCGCTGGCTACTACTTTTTCCCCATCTCTCAGGCAATTTTCGAATTCCATCTCGAAAAAATGACTCGTCTTTGGAGGCGATCCAATTTTGGAGAAGTGAACCGGTGACTTGCCAAATCGTGCTGCATCCTTCGGAACAACCAGTAATCAGAAGGAGCAATGTCCGGAGAATACGGCGGGTGCGGTAAAACATCTTACTTGAGCGTTTCCAAATATTTTTTTACAATTTTTGCGACATGAGGCCGAGCGTTATCATAATGAAAAATAACTTTATCGTGTCTTTGCTCGTATTCTGGCCGTTTTTCTCGCAATGCACGGCTCAAACGAATCAATTGTAGCCGATACCGATCGCCTGTAATGGAATCACCAGGTTTCAGCAGCTCATAGTAAACAACACCCTTTTGGTCCCATCAGATACAGAACATGATCTTCGAACCATAGATCTTCGAACCATGAATGTTCGGTGTTGATGTTGAGGTCGATGGCAACGATTGACCGGACTTAGCGTAGTATTTTTTCTTCTTGTGTAAAATATCCACTTCTCATCTCCAGTCACAATCCGATGCAAAAAACTTTTCTTTGTTGTCTTTGAATCAGCTGTTCGCAAGTGAAAAATCGCCTTTCAACGTCTCTCGGTTTCAATTCATAAGGCACCCAATTTCCTTGTTTTTGAATTATTCCCATGGCTCTCAATCGGGCAGAAACGATTTGTTGAGTTACTCCCAATGATTCTGCAAGCTCCTCTTGCGTTTGACTCTGATCTTCTTCGAGTAATGCCTCTAATTCTTTGTCTTCGAATTTTTTTGACTGTCCAGAGTGAGGCTTGTCTTCAACGCTGAAATCTCCATCTTTGAAACATCGAAACCATTCCCTATATGATTTATCAGTGTCACCATAAACTTCGACAAACATTCGATGGGTTTCAGCTACACTTTTCTTCCAATTAAAGCAGAAAATTAGAACCTCCCGCAAATGCTGCTTGATTAACACAAAATTCGACATTTCAAACATAGTAAAAATCAAGGTTTTTGTATGAAACTCAAAGCGATATAAACTGAATATTATTAGCAGATGTCTAATCTCTCTGAAAACGCCAAAATCAGCTGTCACTATGAACCATTCACAACAGCTGGAGCCATCTTTTGGAAAATGGACCGAACTAATTTGTATTACCAATAGTATTTAAAAAAAAAAACACCTGTATGAGCTGTTACATTCATGTGTAACGATCTATTAGGTGTTGGAATTAATTCGTAGCGTTTTACAAGTGATGGGAAGTACTTTCATTAATGTATTTTTTAATGCTCATGTGAAATAAATAACATTCTTTCATTAAAAAACGCTACGAATTAATTCCAACACCTAATATTTTCAGTATATAAGGCTATCATCAGTTTTTAGTAAAATGAAAGAAATTTTCAATTAACAGGATATTTTTTATTTATTTTATAAAAATAATAAATAATTTCATTTTATAATCTAACCTTAAAGAACAGCGAATGTCGCCTCTAACAAAATTAAAGATGTTAGAGTGTAAATGAATATTCTCGGTGACCATAGTCTCTTGAAGATACCAGAGATCATATGTGTAATCATTAGCTTGGATCTCCGGAAGCTTCCCCCATAAATCCCTACAATTCCAACTAGCGATAGAAACAGGCTTGTTAAGAAACATGAGTAAAACTGAGATATGAAAGTGAAAGGTGATATAAAGTGAAGTAAGAGAAAAATTAATAATAATTGTAAGCGCGATCATCAGAAAAAGTGGGAGGGTCAGTTTGATAATTATCAAAATAGATGCGCGGATCGTTATAATTAGTCGGCTGCCAGTAGAAGCGAGGAGGGTGCGGTTCTACACATGGCTTAAGAATTGCCTGAAGATCATGAAAAAACGTGGTCGCATCTATGTAACCGGCAGGAGGGTTATCGTGTTCATGATGGTAGTTATCTCGTGAGTAATTCGATCGTGACTAAGAAGAACGCCATCTCCCATATGTTGAGAGATCTGCCGTTCGGAGATATCAGATATTTCCTGGCTTCTTCCAACGACGTAGAGTTATTATAGTATTATTAGTATTGCGAGAGGAAGAGCCACATTGAAGAGGTCCTGCTTGAGTTTATCATTGTTTTGCAACGATGGGGAAGGGGATTGTGGACGGGAAACACCCGCTCCCTGACGCAGAAACCGAGGATGTTCGAGTGAGGTACGAGGAGTTGAACTCTTGGCAGAGACTTTGGTATACGACTGTCTAGAGATGTCTGCATTTTCTAGAGGGGAGAATTTATTATAACTGGCAAACGAATGAGGGGTGCTACCGTTCTTTGGTGGGAGTAAAGGGAAATTGTGATAATCATCATCCGCAAAGTGAACGCTACGCGTACTACCTAAGTCAGTACTGGATCTAAAAGTAGATCGAGAGTAGATAACAGCCTATTCCTAGCATTTGCAAGAGAGATATTTTCGATGGCTGCGATCGTCTGTACTTTTTTCTGCTTGATGAAGAGAGGACAATTTGTCGACGTGATGATATGGTCTCCAAAGCAGTTAATACATTTGGGGGGAGGTTTTGCCTCTCACATGTCTCGTCTTCTCTGTGAGCCTTACCACACAACCTGCATCTCGATCGATAAAACTTACATCTTACAAAACTTTCAATGTAGCCAACCTTGAAACCGGAAAAACACATTTTGATTCTAGGGACAAAAGGTAAAACTTCAACTTTGGAAATCAAGAAAAGAAATATTTGCCTGGGGAGGATCTGCCCAGCAAACTTAAGGTTAACTGAAGTAGAAGGGGTGTATTCGACACCGCTTTCCTTAACAACGCGCCTGTTAAGTCTTTTAATTTCGGTTACAGGACAAGAAGATTTAAGATTTAATTTGGGTTCCTGATCCGTTACAGAAGTCGGAACGCCCCTTATTATACCTGAGCGCATTATCTTAAAAGTAGGAATAAAAATTGAGTATCTTGCCTTAATGAGATCAGGGTTAGTCACAAGGTTATTAGCTATTTCATAAGTGCGCATTTCAACCAAAAATTTGCCACGTGAGACCTTTTTCATAGATACTATGCCCGAGTGCACTACTTTAGCAATTTGTCTTTTCATTAAAACTTCGAACGCGCTCTCGGTTATGCAATCGCTGTTCACTTGTACATGGACAATAAAAGGTGTGCGATCAGTCGGACCATACCTGTTGTCAGAGAGATTATGAGAAATCTGTCGAGAGTGAGCTGCATTATCGAGAGAGGCAGAGACAGAGACGGAAACAGCCTTGTCCAGGCTCGGGCCCGATCCATTGCGACGTTTGGCGTACTCGTGCTCATGCTCAAGTGCCAAGTCTTCATTGGTTCTTTTGACCGCGCGATCGATCTGCTCGCGTGTGTCGTTCGTTGCCCTGACAAGTATTTCCTTGGCGAAGGCATCAAAGTGTTCAATCGAAACGTTAGTGAGAGTGACGCCGTTCGCAGAAACCAAAGGAGGGCGAGGAGAGGACTCACCGGGATTCGCCGACCCGCCTCCCATGGGAAGCACACTTATAATTTTCAAAATACCACTAGTAGTATAGGCAAAGGGAGTTAGGCGCAAATAGAAGTAAAATAGGAATGCGAGTCAAATAATGACTCAAAAAGTCACAGGTCGCTCTGAAAAGAGCGGATGATGCAACACACGATGCGACACTAGACGCAGATATGTCCGCACTTGTCAAAGACACGTGCCAAATTCTGATCACAGCGCATGCAGATGTGTACAAAATGTTTGTACATGCAGAGAGAAACCTGAGAGAGGACATGACGGCCCAAAACATGTAACCGCAAAATGATTGTTGCTATTGATGCGGCTGCTGTATCCAATAGAGCGCCGAGCGTGTCTGGGTGCTAGCAATGACCAACTAACGGCAACTAAAGAATAATTGGCGGGAAATCGTTAGGTTGTGAATGAATGCTACTCACTGATCTGTCTCTTATATCATAAGATACGGTTTAATACAAACTTGACTAATTATTTAGCAAATATAGATTACAAAAATAGAAACGTGATTGCGTGCGTAAGACGGCTCGGATACTGGTATTGCGTTGCTTAGAATATGGGAAATTAAGAAAATATACGCTGAGTATTTATCCGACTATATGACGTTAATGATTATCGCAAGACATGAGCGATGATCGGTATCGATC